ACAGCATGGTGAGAAGAATTCTTCATGTTTTTAATGTAAAGTGTCAGAACCTACAATAGAAGGCTGACACTTGATCGTTTTTAACATTGTAACCTCTTTTTACTTGTTCACCTGTGTTTTTTAAAGAAGTTTTTCTTCAAAACAAATACCATGTTAACTGTTACTTCTGGTGATGTATAAAAAAGGATTATGATAGACTCGAAAATTTGATATTTTTGTAAATAGTCGAAACTTCAATTAGTGAATAATGTTTTTTTTTTGTACGTACTGTACTGTACAATATAACTTTTTCTGTACAAAATGTAATAATGAAAAACAATTAAGATCTTTTGTGTTATACTGACATAGTTTTTTGTATACGTTTTTTTTATTCACGTAATTATTTGTATTTTGTTAACCTTCTATTTTTCATAAGTTATTTAGTTAATTTGTCTACATTTAAATGTGTATTTAGAATTCTTTACGTTTTTAAATTATAGACATGCTGTTAGACATCCTATTGTCTTAATTCTTATGCAGTGTATTGTAATAATGTTCCTTGGTTTCCGTAGAACAATTTTGTCACATTCTTAGAGGCCCTTCATGCTTTTTTCGAGGCCTTCGTGCTAGACAGTAAACGAAACGTATTACAAATACATAAAACATTCGCCATCTTATGAGATGAGCATTCGCGAGTTAAGGGGTGGTTCATAAACAAAAAAATATATACAAATTATTCAAATAAAATGAATATTAATGAATCATGACTTTTTTAAATGTATAAGAAAAGAATTCAGATTATTATTTATAAAATTATATAGAAAAATTACTCTGCAATTACGTTAACTACGTCACATGTATATCTTTGGGCTACATTTTTTTTCAAATTGCAGCCCAATAATATAAATGTAAAGGTGAACAGCGCGTGTCCGACAAGAACCTTACATGTTTGCAGATAAATTTTATAAAAAGTAAAGCAGAATTCCTGGAAGTGAAGCCCAAGGTATTTTTAAATGGGCCAAAAGATATCGAGTAACACAAATGTAGTAACCTAGCTCCTACAAACATCTCAATCTACTACTGGTAGCCCAATCATGCAATCCTGTAAATATTCGTAAACTCGAACTCAGATAGTTCGAATTAACGAGAATTTTTAATGACCTTATTTTTTTTAAGTAATTTTGCAAATTATTTCAAAGAAAAATTACTTGCACATTAGAGCAGTCCATTACAGCCACATGTTAGAAAGCATTCTTTCTACATCTGTACTCGCCTGCACGAAACGTCAGTTAAATGCATTTTAGTAAATCGTAAGAGCAAACATGTACTGTACGTGTGAAATATATAATTTACTTTAATATGATGTATGATTACTTTTGGAAATAAATATATCACAGCATTGTTTAATACTCTTTATCAATTGTTCAAAAAACCAGAGAACAATGTATACCGGAATATTTGCATTCTTATTGTGGCGATAATTAGAATTTCTAAAGGTTCTCAGATACAGATACAGATATTTATTGATCAATATGCCATATGGCATATCCCGGTGCCACTAAGTATTACCGGGTGTATACAGGAAATTACATAGTTTACACTGAAGATTTCGATAACTAATTATTAACGTAAATAAAATTAATTAACGCGTGTACAATTATATATATAAGGTTATACACGCGTGAAAAACATTAATAAGTATTAATAGATAAAAATAAATTTAAAACATAAAAGTTGCTGGAAATGTGACAGAGTCATAACATTATATAGTTACACGAGGAACATATGTTTTGTTATCTTACGCGGCAATTCTGTTTCAGCAGAGGTTTTCGAATCAGACTAGATAAAAGTTTTTTTTTTCTGCTGAAGTGAAACTCCTGCACAATCCAGACCAGGAGACTTATACAGATCTTATTAGAATATAGTCCTCTGTCAACGATTTTCCAGAATTAGTTGTCCAACGCCTTTGCTCTTCCTTATAAATCTTGCTGCTAGCATAGCTCCAGGTATATCTTGTGTGATTCTTATTGCCATGGTACAGCTCCAGGCACACCACTGTTATCCACAAAATTTGCCTCTTATGTATGCATGAGAAGCAAACGCCGATACAGAATCACAATGCCAGTAGATGCACTTAATTCACATATGTAGCAGACAAATTCTTCTCGAATATCACTATTGCACAACGTTTGTGGAATTATACCAGAGTAGTAGTCCAGCCAGAACAGTAGACCAGCCGAAGGAAGACGCTAAATAAGGTTTCAACACAGTTGTACATCATCTATGACGTTCAATGTATGGATACTTTGATTATTTATTGAAGTCTCTTATCATTGATGAGACACATTTCTGAGCACAAATACATAACATCATATATTATTTAGGGAAGAACCAGTGCATTAGACCTATCGATGAAGGACACTGTATAGAGTTTCAACACAGTTGTACAGCATCTATGATGTCCTATGATCACATACGTTGGTTGTTTATTGAAGTCTTTCGTCAATGATGTGACATATTTTTGGGCATAGTAATACAAAGTCAAAACCAGATTCCTTAAGCAAATATTTCACAAGTACGGCCAATCAAGTATTATAAAAAGAGTAGGGCACATAAGTATAACGAGGGTAAGTGTGTTAACGAGAATACAACAAAACATGTAAAATATATAATAATAAAAGAAATAAAATAGACAAAACGCCGATAGAGAACCCATGGTATCAATGCTAAACCTTCCAAAAGAAAATGCAGACTACAAGTACAATCACGAAATAATTATATTAGGGTAATTTATATTTTCACTAACCAACAGTTGGCCATTAATGGCCAGAATAAGCTGGTACACTGGTCCTTACAAAATACATGTTAACGAGTTGTACAAAGGCATCGAAGGTATCTTTGTGATCAAAGAGACGTTCTAAGGTGGGAGGTGGCCAATGGAGATCATGAGACTCAAGTAACAGTTTTAAAATCAATCTTTCATTTTCTAGCATAGGGCATGTATAAATATAATGATCGCTGCTGTCGTTGCAATCACATATAAGACATCTTGAGTTTGATGTGCCCTTGAATCTTGAAAGGTATGAATAAAATCTCCCATGATTTGTTAATATTTGTGTGAGTTGGTGGGTAGGCTTGTACCATTTATTACTAAGGAAATTTGTAATATCTGTAATATATTCATGTGTTTTATTATTAATATTATTCCATTGAAGCTGCCATGCATGAATTAGTTGTTTCCACAGGATAGTTTTAATTGTTTGTATACTAATTATTTTGTAAGATACAGGTAAGTCCTCCTTATAAGAAGCCTCTTTTGCAAGTTCGTCTGCCAGTTCATTTCCATAGTGCCCTTGATGTCCTCGAATCCAGTTTATAGCGAAATGACAAGTGAATGTATTTATGATATCTTGTATACGATTTGCAATCGGATGATAGTTTCTAATTTTTAGAAGAGCTATGGCAGAAGAACAATCAGTATTAACAGAAATCCTTTTGTTTGTATAATTGTGCTTGCACCAAGCAACAGCCATTCCAATGGCGAACAATTCGGCTTGGAAATTTGAGCAATTTTCACCAAGTCGATATTGTTCCATAGTCAATATCTCTTCACGGCAGTATGCAATAAAACTGCAGCCTACTCGGTTACCCGTTTTAGAGCCATCTGTAAAAAGATGAAAGTCTGCATTATCATAGGTGTTAATAGCAAAATTATTTGTGGTGGCAGGATGTCTTGATTGATTAAAAGCCATTGGTCTTTTGACGTCCTCTGCCCTAATAATGTAATTATCAGTTTGTATATTCTGTCCCCATTTGATATGCCAAATTTTTTGCAGTATAGTCAATGAGTATAGTCAATGATCTTATCAATAGGAGGACATCTTGCCAGAACTTGGATGGAGACATTAGGGGTTGTGCAATAAGCTCTGGTCAACTGGATGAGCGCCTTTCTTTGTGCAGATATAAGGTTCTCAGAAGGAGGATATTAAAAACATAAAAGATGTCTCTCTAGAACATCCCAAACGTGATTTATAGCATTTATATTTAAAAAACGCGACGGCCATTTAGTGTAGGTACATAATATTTATAAACAGATTTATGCTTTGTAGAACTTGCTTTACCTTCAAATGAAATAAAATACGTTCCTATTGTATCTTCTTAAATTTCCACAAAGTGATTAAGAATTTCGTCCCCGTTGTTCTAGCAACCTGAGAAAAGAAATTAAAAATCACATAAAGACACAGCGCGGGCGCGCAAGAAAATGTCAATTCAGAAGCTAACATCTTCTCCTTTATAAATGTTTTCTTAAAGTTGTTAAAGGGATTATTGCATCTCTTCTCCAGTTTAAATAAAGTTTAGAATGTCTCTACAAAGCGCTCTGTAGAAGCATTCTAAACGCTCTTTGATCTGGATTCATTTGTAAAAAGAACAGATGCCCTGGGTTTAGCAGATGTAGCACTTGCGCCAGTTTACACATTCCTGTTCGTGGCACAGAGTGAGAGACACCCGGCTTACTGATTCCTTAAAACTAAAATGAATTAAAATATAAGCAAATAAATGACTTAATATACTTAATAACTTAATAACTTTTTACTATGATAAAAGGTTATTAAAACTAATAAGTGGGTATACCTGTAAAAATAAATATGTTGATTAACTCAAAACTTAAATATTACAGTTATATATATTTTAATATACTGATATTTCATGAATCAGTCATTTTACTGTATTATATATTACTAAATGCAATATACGAACACCCCGATACGGAATCGTACAATATTCCTGTATACAATATGGAATTTAAAATATTATTAATAGTCGAATGTTTAATTTAAGAGAAACTTACAAAATGCACGGAAAAGTGTATAGCCTATTGCTGAATTTCATTCTAGACATTTCCTCCTGACTAATTATATTTTCCATTAAGAGAGAATGGAGAAAACCAAGGCATGAGTAATCATGATTATATCAATTTAATCACTCTATTTATATAACCTACATAAATGGAATGTTTACGTATAATAAAGAATGCAACGTGGGTTTCGGCCTTTGTGAATATTAATGGAATAGCAAACAAATACATTTATAAATAGAGCCAGACTCAATTGCCTTTTATTAATAGATCGTCAATTAGTCGACGATTCGAATAGTCTTAACTAAAAGCATTTTTAAAATTTTTAACGAATAATGGATTAATTTATGTAAAGTCAATAAATTTAATAATTATAATTGATCAATTTTGCAAATGTTTAAATCAGAATATGTGTAAGTTATGTTAAGTGGCTTTTATGAATCATGCAACAGTTTATGAAATTACCACGTTAAATGCTGAATAGCCTGAGGTCAATTTCGGTTAAGGGACGTCACGTTATATGTGATAACCATTTCGTAATATTTTCTGTTGAGAATAAGGTAAGAGGATGATTTAGTTGCAACCTATAAATTACTGTAAAGACAAAGAAAATTTTTAACAAAGGGATTAGACAAAGGAACTTACTTGGCTGATTGATTACGAAGCGTTAATGAACCGATCTTATAAATGTTGCAAGGTTAAAAAGAAAATATTACAATTTCCTCAACGTGAAATAGTTCGAAAAGAGTAAGTTTGTTACTTACTCGTTTAGAATTTTTTAGAAATTTTAGAATTGAAACGTACTTTAGACTTGTATTTTAGCTTCTTTACTTTTTTCGTTATGTGAGCAGTGAGAGTGAAAACTAGCTACAAGTACCCGCTTCGCTGGGTTTTTATTTGTTTGTACATTTATATGTAATATAGTTTATATATATATATAAGACTGTTTCTTTTCCTTTACATACTTTTTTCTGATTCGATGTGTTTCCCTATAATTTTCAAGTTGCGCTTCTGTCTTTTTATTTCTTTTTCGTTGATAATTTTCTCGTAGCGATGTTAGATGTACTTCTCTTTCTTCAGTGGTTTCATTTCTCTGTGGCATCTTTTGCCTTTGAGATATGATTCCAGACCGCAAAAATTATTTCTTACGCTTTGGCATTGTTGTTTTTTATTTTTACTTTTCACACTTCACACTTCACTATTCACTTCTCACTTTTTACTTTTTTCTATTATTCGTACACTTTTACTCATGAAAAATCAACTGAAGCATGTGCGTCACACGTCTCCAAAAACCATTCCTACTACTCACACATAACAATCCTCGACTATTCCAAAACATTTTCGACTATTCGAAAACATTTAAGATTAAGATTGCATTACAGCCGATCTTTTTCACAGAATCTTACCCATTTTCACAGAATGCAAGAATTAGGTTTCCCGTTTGTAGACTAATTAGAGAATTTTTACAAGGCTCTAAAAATACATTCGATTTATTGCAAAAACGGGAAAAACCGCATCCGCGCCTGTAAATCTTACACGCCACTTTCTCTTAACACTTCCATTGTAAAATATTTTTTGAAGTCAACTACTTTCAACCTGCATATCTCGCATACCCATATAGCTATTGAGACGCAACCACCATAATGCACGATGGGAGACTTGGCACTACTACCACATACAAACACCATTCATGTGCGATGTGTAGTTTTGGCTGCAGAGTGAAATATAAGGACAAACACGTTCATATATATATATATATACACATAAAGATATAGATAACGGTAAAAACATATAACTGTTGTTCTTACAATTGATTTAATTCTTGTAATCTGTAATCTTGTAATAAAACATTTAAAAGTTTTATTATATTTTTAAATTTTTAACTGAAATCGCTTTATACATGACACAAACTGAGTGTATTGACACAAACTTGTTTTAAAGCAAGTTAAAGCAATGAATAATGCTACCTGTCGACCTTCCGTACAGCTTCCACATGAATTCATGTTACATGACTAATATTTACATAGAATTAGAAAAGCTGTCTCGATCACAGTATCGGTATATGGAAAATTAGGGAGCCGGATAATCGAGTGTCTACTATATTTTATTTTACTAGAATATTGTGTATATTATTTAAAATGTTGACGTAGCTGTCTTCCTTCTACAGCTTTTGTGCTTTGCAAAGACATTAGGATTCAAGCCACTGGGAGTTGAAGTATTGAATTTGATAGTAAATTTATTTCTTTTAGGCAACGTTATTAATTAAATGGCACACCTTCCCTTTCGTATAACCAACTTTACGGGGTTTGAATGGTGGCTTCTCTGCATGTCTCGCCTTCGTGCTGGAAAGCTGCCATTTGTACGTTAGCATTAAAAATAATTTAAAAACGAAAACATGACAAAACATAAACTAAAATAAATTTATTGACAGACAGACATATTTTAAATGATTACAAGTAATAAGAAGAATGAAAACTAATTATAAAATACAATGTTATAAAATGAAATGTGAATGTATTGTACTCTGTATATGTACCGAATATAGAAAACAATAAAAAATATATTTCTACAAGTTTCAGTGTAAAACTTTATTTTCTTTATTATGTATTATTTAGAAACTTGTTATTTTTTATACAACACAAAACTGTCAACGGGACACAGTCTGCAGTACTGTACATACACCTAGCTGGATGGCCTTGAAATCAGCTGTTTGTCGATGGTCACGGGATGTTACCAACAGAACCTGAGAGCTAGCTGCTTTTTGGCCCAGGAATTTTTAACTTTAATGTAAATAAATATAAAAAAATACTTAAAACTGAAAAAAACAAAAGAAATGCATTAATTTTAAAGAGAAAGCTTCAAAGTTTATTTTCCATTGTCTGTGAAATCTGACACCCATGAATAATTGTGTTTACAGCTGGATGACCTTGAGAACAATTGGTGTTTTCTTTCCTGGGACATTTTCATAAAAGTCTCAGGAGGAGAATGGTTTAAACTAGGGTGAATACTAGCTAGTTGTATATTTCTAAACATTTTTGAAAATTACGTTTTTTATTGCGATTTCCAACCCAAGACTTAATTAAACGTATATATAATAAAATCTATTAATTAAAGAAATTAAAAAAACTATTGGAGGTCGTTTTTGAACTCAGAAATTAGCTTTAAATAAGTTTATGGAAGTAAAATCCGTGCACTAGAACTTTAGAACTATGAATGAAATTTGATAAAAAAAATCCCATAAAAACAATTAAGCGTTAATCGCGCGTTATTATAGGTTGATTAATATCGCGATAAAATTTTTTTCGCGTGGGAAAGAATTTTTGAATAAATTTGGAGAATTAAAAAAACATCTGAAAATTTTAAAAAAATGTATATTTTTTTAGGGTTCAAAAAACCGTCTGTTATGTAACGCTATGTAACCTGCTCAAGACAGTCTCCAGCGTGGGCATAAAGGGGCTAGTATTTCTAAGAGTGCGGCAAAACCAAAGGAGAATGTCACTATTGAAGAGCAAGACAATGACTAAAAATTATTTGAAGCATTCAAAAGAAGAACAAAGAGACAGAAATTCTAGGAACAAACATCTGACATTATTTATTTCAGTCATAAATTGTAACATTTGAGAACCCTGCTATCAGAACCTTTTGTTTTTATAGTACAATACACATTTCCTTTTAAAAAATTTTTATTACAAGTTTTTCATCTGAGAATTGATAATTACATGAAGGCGTTTGGAAGTTCTTTCTAAATGCTTTTATATGTAAATAATTTAACAGAAATATGAATAACGTATCACCATTTATAATTGTTGACTATAACATATGTATATTTAAAAACATTTATAAAATTCAAGATTTGAAAAAATCAAAAAATTATTTTGTATAAAAATTCAATCAATC